GGATGTATCGAATGCGGTGATTACAGGTATCGTTCAAATTAAAAATGTACTTACGGCTAACATTCTTTATACGAAAATATACATTTAACGTACGAATATCATTTGTTTTGACTATATTTTATAATATAGAAAAGAATATAGAAACAAGCGACACGATAAACATACGGTATGTAGAAGTTAACCGATAGCCGTCATACGAAGATGTTATACGATGATAATTTAATAATAATAGTTTCCTATCAATTTCGTAAATCATAATTCAGGTATTATTATCGTACCATGTGTTAAATAATTACGATTACGCAATTACGATACTTATTATCGTAAATATGAGCATGAATATGAGCATGTATTAAAAGTTTGAAAAAAAAACAAACAAGACAATAATGCAAATTTTTCCGCACGAAATTGTGCTACTAATGATATCTCTGATTTATTTCATATTTCCGTACAAATTGTGAAGAAATTGTAGAACTCTTGCAACTTTGTTGCGTGCAAACAAATAAATAGCCTATACCGAAAGTAGTTTTAGAGAGTAAAGTTATAAAATATTTTGAAAATATCTTGAAAATATTTTTATAAATTTTCATTTTATATTCTTATTTTATCTTTTATATTATTATTATTATTATTATTATTATCTTTTACAAAATATCGTAAAATATACTTATTGTACTATTTTTAGTTTTTCTAATATACTGGATAGTAAGAGTAGGAAATACAACGGTTGGAAGGAAAAAGTATAACGTTCCAATACGTTTATCGGTAGTCGCTATTTAAATCGAGATAGTAACGTTATGCGTATTATTTTTTAACGTTATACAAATATTCTTTCTTTCAACATATTCGTTCAATTTATGTACATATGTATAGATGTCCGGGTGATATTGCGAAGTGTTTGCTGGGTTCTGTTCTTGATCCTTGCGAATGTTGCGCAAAGGGTATATGTGCTCGATTGGACGGTGAGCCCTGTTGGAATTCTAGTATTCCTGGATTACCTCCCGAACGTCGTAACGATGGACTATGCGCAAGGAATTATGTATGCACATTAAGATCAGATCTTCGGAAACAGGTACATTGAATTAAGTAAAATAGAATTAATATCTAATAAGATATTACACATTATGCTCCTAGTTCGAGACGACAGAGATCGTTACAATTTTTTTAGCTTCATTCAGTTAACAACGATAAACTATTATTTATACCTAACGATTATTTCATGCAGATATTAAAGTTTGCAGTAAAGCTTCTGATCTGTATTTTAGAAGTTTCAGCAATATTTCATTTCGAATGATCTTTTATCTGTTTTTGAAGAATATTTCTTCGTTATTATTTTATATGCAATAATTACAATACGAATGTCACAATTGAAACAATTCGTTTCGATCGTTTGATTATAATTTTTTATTGCTACAACATTTGGTTATTATTATTTGACATATACTGATTATCAAATAAATAGCTGTTAGAGGGATATTTAATGTCTCCCAAGCAAATTCTTATCGAAAGCGCGCTGATATTTGTGCAATATGTGTTTGCTCTGTTTTAAATTAATGTATATATCTCAAATACATTTTAGACATTTTTAAAAGGACATTAAAAACATGATCGCTAAAGAATATCGATACTTTACACAGTATTAAAAGGACTCGAGGGACAATTTGTTGCAACGAAAAGATGCATAAGGTTATTTAAACAATGGCGAAGGAAGTGTGAAAATTGACAGAAATGATTAAAATTTAAAACTTCGATTGGACGGTGTAATTTTTTTAGCCAGTCACCGAAAATTATGACATACGAGTATAGTCAAGTCTCCTGTCACGCGATTAATTCGTACCGCGTTATATGGGAACCGTGTGATAAGAAAATCAGAATTAATTGAAATTAGTAAATGCGTTCTATGTAAACCGCGTTACGATAAATATAGCAATAAGACAAATCAGATCATATGTAAACCACTGCCGTGTTATATAGGAAGCCGCACTATAAGAAATTCAGAAATAATACAAATTGAACGAATTCGTACCGCGTTATATGAAATCTGAAAAATAAATAAATTGTACACAAGTGAGACCTATATAAAAACTGCGTTCTCAAAGTATCAAGTTACGATTGATACGGTTAGTAAATAAAATTTTATACTAGAAATGTCAATGAATATGTAGATTTTTACATATTTGAATTTAGGTTTATCGAACATAATCAATAGTTCATATAATAAAATTATAAACCAAAATAATTGTTTTCAACAAAAATATTTAATTTGATACGTATCAGTAACGCAGCCTGATTTAAAATAGGATTCTAATGTTAAAATTAAACGGTTTATTACTTTGTTTTATATAATTATCTTTTGGGCGCCTATCAAAGCCCTTATTAAAATCTCTCCTGTCATAAGTTCGCTTACCTATAAATGTTATTCCATATTTCTTCTTATTTATATTTATTTCTGAAACAAATGATTTATTGTCAAACACTCTTATGAAACCGCTTCAGTCTGATGAGAATTCAGACATTCTTATCATGTGGTTTATACATCGAGGATACCACAATTACATTGTTTTATTATAAATCATCACTGTACTTACATACATTCTTATGCGCATTTCTATTCATTATGGGCAGGGGTTGTACGCGAATTTATTCTTCACCTGTTGTCGTTATCCCAATTGTAAGAGAAGAATTCAGAGCAAGATTACACGTGGATAAAAAATTAGATTTCTCCTTTTTTATGTTATTCTTTAAATATATTACACTTGGAGATAAAGACGAGCGTCATTGACTACTTATTGTTAGTTAAAAAGAAAGTTGGTCAAATGTGGACCTATCGTTGATATAAATCGTCGAAATATGTCATTTCTTCGAGTTACCTGTGCATATATGTAGTATAGCATCTCGATTAGCGGTAATAACGTGTAACGTTATTAACATTCTATACGCAGTGTTACATACTAAAAAAGAAAATTGCTCAAGCAATATTTGTTAAGCGATTTTATTTCATTTTCTTACGAAAAGTGGTCTATCTCGAAAGAGAAATGGAAAATAGAATATAATTGTAATTCTTAATGCTAATTGTAGATTCTTTCTTCCTTTTAATTACGTCAATTATAAAGTTTCAGTAACGGATAATTACAATTCATGACACTTTCATTTAAACTGCGTCATGTTTGTTTAAAAGTTATTAATATAAAAAATAGTTATTAATAATTCATACAAGTTATCTTCAAGGTCTTCTATGAACATCTTCCTTAACGTTTAAATCTAATAAACATATCTTTCCGAAAGAATTGAAAAAAGAAAATGTTTTAAACAGAAGTTGATTAAACAAAAGCTGAGCTTTTAGTTGGCTACGAATTACTACAAGAAAAGTTTCGAAACAGGTTTTTTTTTTTTCTTTTTTTTTTTTTCTCAAATAAAACGTCGAGATCACTTTCACCTTTTTAAACAATTTTTTATTTAATATTTTTTATTCGATAGTATTATAACCCGCGACAGGACAAGCTTAACGAGGTGAATCTTTAGGTGAATCTGTTAAATCGGTAATCGTTAGTTAGTCGTTATCGGTTGTAACTCTTACTTCTTTTTTTCCTTTAAACCATCTATAATTTCGCGAATTCTTTTCAACGCGATAAAATGTTTGTGCAGATGCGTGGTGTCTCTCTGGGTACTTTGGAGCATACGTATTTGCTGCTTTCTATGCAATCCTTTTCATACTCACCGCATATTAACAACGTATCAACCTTTTCTCTAGAAGAATATATTTTTTAATGACATGCACTTAAATTGCTCTACGATTTGCACAGACGATTGCTTGATTAAGTTTTGTCAAGAATCGTGGATAACTAAAATTCAAAGGACGAAGAATCATGGATTTCTTCGACTTGTCTTTAACCAATTTAAAATCATTCGAAGGACTTGTTAAATAAGGTCGACGATCGATGAGCTCGTCCCGGAAGGATCTATAATGTTATTAAGCAAAAAAGTATCAACGTCACTAAAAAAGTTCATCTACTTTTGTTCAAAACATTTTTTTCTCAAGTGCACGGAGTTGGGCGATTTCGGATTGAAAAGACGCGAAATGTGTTAGGTGGAATACCCTGTACACCCTGACGAGTAATGTAATAAATGTGCAGTTCTAGTCACCTTACGGTATGTAGAAATACATTAATATTTTGTTAATACAAATTGGTATTAGAAAATTGTCAAATTAGGACAAGGTTAAAGTAACATTAACTTATATAAAAGTACTTTATAAAAAGAAGAAATATGTTAGAATTCTGAACCTGTGCTGGCAATAAATAAAGATAAAAGCAATGATTAGAAGAGCATATTGAAATGTTAATCTTGAAAATAACGAATACATCACGTTCACGGCGTATATCGAGATTAAATTTATAATCGTTAATGATTAATTAATAATCGTTATACAGTTGGAAATTTTGTTACGAAAGACAATCTCGTGAAATTGTAGAAACAGATGACGAAAAGTTCTCGTTTAATTCTCGTTCGATTCTCGAATAAGAGATACAGAGATAACGAGAACTTCTTTCTTTTATAACATTTTTTTAGTAGGACAATAATTTATCGAATACATACTAGGTTTTTTCCGCCAATAATTTTCTGTTAATTATTCAATTAATATCGTGATATTTTATACTTTTTATCGATGGTATCGATCGTATATCATATCAATGACGAGTAATTTACGTATAAGAAAATATCGAGGGTAGAAAATATTCACTGTTGGTCGAAATTCGAAAAAAATTTTACGATACAATATCGTAAAAATTTATTCTCGTACAGGATGAAATGAGAACGTCCAAGCTGAGATAGTCGTACTTATTCTTCCCCAAATAACTTAGATTTACATATATTTAAAGTTTTCGTCAGAGAGCCTATCTCTGAGAAAATAGTCTATCGAAGAAGCAAATAAATTAGCTGCAACTAAGAGTACAGTAATTTGGTAGAGTACAGTAATTTGCTCACTGCGATTGTCGAAATTCTCACATATCGGTCTTTATTCGGCAGCTATTCTAAATTAAAAGTTTATTCCAGTTATTTAAACGCTTGAAGAATTTATGTAAATGACTTTAGACGGACGTGGAAGTACCGTTTGCAAGTACGATGTTGCATCGTAGAGAAAAAGGAATTGAATATAAAAGTGTTTCTCACATCACATGATATTTTTGTCATCTGACACGACATTTCATACCATTGTCAACGCAAACGTAACATCGCGGATCGTTTTCGCGGTCGTCTCGGTATAGCATTCTTCGTGTCGTCGTATCGTATCGTACATTTTTTAACGTTGCAAGCCTAATTTCGACACAATTAGGTCAAAATGATTATGTACGTTAGAAAGCGTATAAATGTGTATCGTTATTTAATTGAAAGATAATAGTCGAGTACAGTATATTCTCACACAAAGGATATTCGAAAAGAATTTTCTCAACGAACAAATACTCTTATATAAATCAATTTTATTTTAGAATTTCGCTTTAGTTGTTTGCAAAGGATTACTTCCTTTTCGAGAAATTGTATCATGATTTCCGAGGTACTCTGTGTGGTAGAAAAAGTAGAATAGGTGGTAACATATTCGGAATAGCAGTTGGTTTAGGATGGAAACAAATAAAACTGCGTAATATCATAGGGAAGCTATAGCATAGGAAAACTTTTGTATTTCCAACTTTTAATAGCAATGAGAAATAAAAAGATATTTGAAATTTTTGTTTAGCTAAAAAATGACATAGAGTATCGATTTGACCAGGATGTATAGAAATAGCGATATTTCGATTCACCTTCGCTTTATACGATTAAAAAGAGAAAAGAAACACGTAGAAAATAAAATTTTATTCTTACGATATATGTATATTATTTTATTATTATATTATTTTGATATACGTAACGGGTCTCCTTGGCTCGTTCGCGAAATAAATGAAATTGAAATCATTGGAAAGAAAAATTACGGATACCGAATATATATTCGAATACTTGTACTCGGATACAAAAGTCCGGATATACCTTTATGTGGTAATGGTTACATAGATTTTTAAATATATATTTATTAGAATAAGTGGAACAAGTATGCATGGGATGGAAATATCTAATGAATTCAGGTTATTATGATAAATGAGTATGCATACAATGATTGAGGTGTTGTGTGAATTGTGTATGTAATGTAACGTATGGAAGAAGAAAGAAAAAAGAGAGTGATTTGGAATATGTCAGTTGCAATTGAGTATTAATAGAGAGAAGACGTGTGAGCATGTGATAGTGATAAAATAATTATATTTCAACCGAATATTTGTGTTTGATAATCTTTGTAATTAAATAAATAATTGTTCTTATTGTTATTTAATTTCATCCATCACTAACACTTTATATACTTGATGTACCTGTTTCATCGAAAAGCCAGATTAATACGGCATTCGATCTTTAAAAGTCACGCTGCATCCATGAAAATTTGAAACTAATCGAGATAACGGAAGAGGAATTCGATAGCGATTTGATAATTCATCGCGAGTTTCTCGTTCTTGCTCGTCATTGTGATTTGCGATATTCAAGGGATTGTATTACCGAAAAATTATTTTTCATCTCCTTGAGCTATTTTTGAAGAATCCATTAAATACGTATATGTGGATACGCGATACGATATTTACTAAATCTATTTATCGAATCTACGTATTCTACCTATTCTACGAAAGACACGATTCAAGGAGTTTTTGAACTAACAACAAGAAAAGATTTGACTACGTAGCAGTAAAGGAAAGAAAAAATAAGAAAAGGAAAAAGTAGCGACGAGAGAAAGGAGAAAAAGAAAGAAGGCAGAGGAGTTGAAGAAAAGAAAACGTCTAAAACAAGTATATATGGTATTATAATTACAATCGCTTGCAGTCGCTTACAATCGCTATTCAGTACAGTATTGCGCAAACTTAAATGATTCTTTCGAGTCAGTAGTATAGTGACTCGGAATATATACATACATACACGTATGTATATATGAATTATAGTAACATGCTTCTGACTTTTAGTGTTTTTACGTGGTTCACTGAGATCGATGGTCTCATGCTAAAAACGCCAAAAATATTTCACCAAGTACTCCGACTTTTACGACTTGAATCGTAACTTATCGTTTCGATGACCGAAATGAACGATCGAAACGAATGACCGAAATCACCGAAAATTAATGTAAACGTAATTTAATTTTCTATTATACGTTATACGTTATACGTTATACATTACACATATATATTATGCGTCATACAGATGCTACTTAAAATTCCAATCGTAGAAGCTAAAAACAAAGTTCTCGCTTTGATTATTTTTGAAAAATAATTCTACAATTAAGCCAAATTTCTATGATTTTTAATTGTACACAGGATACACCTGAAGCGACTTGCATTTGCATGGAACAAACACTAGCGTGTGGTAATGATAACAAAACATATACGACACCTTGTGTACTGCACGAAGAAGCATTGAGACGAAAAGGTACATCTTCTTTGAAGTTACAGCATCTTGGTCCATGTCAAAGCCGGCCTTGGATTTTGTCTCCTTTAGAAGACGTTTTATTAGCGTTTGGTCAACGTTTAGCGTTGAATTGCGAAGCAGAAGGCTTTCCAATTCCTGATATCTTTTGGGAGTTTCATACCGCGGATGGAAGAGAAGTTTTAAAACTACCAGGTACGTTTGTTACGTATATACAGTGTGTATGTTATTAAGTTCACTTAACTTGCATATCGCGAAGATTTTCTAAATTATACGCAAAGTGGAAACGAGATTGCTCGTTGCGTCCTGTATGCTTTTTTTAATAAGTAAATATTACGTGGCGACGTTTCAGAGACTCAAAGATCAGAGATTCAAAGACTGTAATTGTTTTCGATGCAGACTGGATACGCGTATTTTAAATTACCAAGTAAGCTTCTGGTTGTCGGAAAGTTATTTGCCAGACGTCTTCCCGTAGTAGGAATTCATGCGCAGTTCATTCTTTTCCAACAATTATTCATTCGCGACTGATGGTTTATGTCAGACATCTGATCTCCATGATAAGATGCGAGTAGAATGCGATAGGATAAAAAAATTTGATTTTGAAAATCAAGCTCGTGGATAATTTCGCGACTACTATGCCGTGGCTGTGATAATATATTTTCACGTGTATGTGGATGTACAAGAATACATACATTGCATGCAAAGGCAAAAAGCATCGAAGGCATTTATTATTTTTTAAAGATACTTTTTAAAAGACATCGCTACGATAACTTAGTCGGTTTTTAATCGATCGATCGTTGAGCGAAATATCGTATGTTTAGCCGCCTTTTTGATTTTGCAATTTTTCCAATTTTTATTTACAAAAAGAAATAACAGTAAGAATAATAAAAGTAAACGTATAATGTAACTATCGCATTCCTCGTAACACGAGTCGATCAAAAGTCGATCAAATATAATTTTACAGGGTGGCCTGGACCGTAGTCCGTAGGTGTTACCTATGTACGTGATTTTTCGTTATTCCAATTGTCTGTCCAATTGTCCGTCCAATTTTACTTTGTCCGAGAATTTTACTTTACCTTCTACGTTTTTCTTTAAACGAAGTAAAATAAAATATGCAACATTTTTGCATCTCAAATATTACGATGGTACACCGATATGCGAATGATAAGTGTTTGTGTCAATAACGACTCTGTTATTCCTAAATTACTTATAAATTATTCGTGTAATATCGTATAATTTTCTTATTAACGATTTGCTTCTGTCTTTATTTACAAGGCATTAATACACATTATAATACGTATAATAAGTAGATTCATCAGCTTTATCGAACGCGCCTATTACCAATTTATAATATTTTCGTGTTTATAGGGGAATCTGAAGAAACAACTGTTCACAGCAGCGTCGGCCCGGAACCTTTTATGCGAACCTCGTGGATGCAATTACCTCGTGTCAATAAAGAACACATTGGAATGTATCACTGCATTGCTAAAAATTCGTTGGGTGAAGCTAGTAGTGCGTCGTTTGTTTCTATATCGGACCACTAGATCCATATTATATCATATATCACACTTTGTAAAATTCGAATAAATTGTACGATTGCTTGTTAAAAGTAAAACGTTTAATGAAATTTAATTACTCGTGTACGAAGAAATAACGACGATTGAATAATTTATATTTCGAAAGTTATCTATTTCATATAGATATTCCTTTTTATATCACCTATTATATGAATAATGCCTTGATTAATAATAGTACTTGACTAATAATAATATAATAGTAATGACAACCCTTTTCGTCTTCTTTTTATAGCGTAACGATAACGTAGCGTAACCTAACGAGTTACATGGACGAGAGAAAAATCCTATTCTTCCCCATGTGTCACTGCTGCAAGTTCATTCGAGTTTAAAGAACATTCCTAGAATTTTATCTTAAGACAGTGGATTTTACTTTATAATAATTTTATAATTAGTTTATTATAACAGAGATTACAGATTTATTATTACAGAGATGTATGTATATCTCGAGGGAGACGATTTCGTAACATTAACCACTTGGAAGAAAGTATCGTTGAAAATTAGGAAATTTTCCAAACAATTATACGAAACAATTCGTAAATGTTTATTAGATCGTTTATCATCGCACGATAACAAAAAAAGATTCGTGAAATATTAATTAAACATTTGATGCGATAATTTCGTGAAAAGAATGCAATTTTTAAATTAGCCTTTATTCGGTCTAATTAAAATTTACTTCGTATTTACATAATTTTTTTTCAAACATTGTGAAAAAAAAATAAACGTATGTAGTATTACATATGTAGTATTCAATCCCGATATAGTTTGCCTGTAAAAATTTGTACGATCCGGATATAGTAGGGCTGAAGAGAAAAAGTGGTTGGTTAAACAGTGATATACGTATATAAAATTGGTAGAGAACGGAAAGCAAATCTATAGACTTTCTTCAGTCCTTTGTTTTCCCTGATTCTTCCTAAAAACTACCCTCGCTTCGATCTCTGAAAATTTTCTAGACCCATCTGTAGCTCTGGCTTTCGTCTATAGCATAATCCGCACACTTTCTTCTTTTCTCAAGGATCATTTTCCGTCAAGGATTCTCGGACCCATGATACTACACGTATCGTGAAAAGATGACACCTTTTATGTTTTAGCAATGATACACGATATATGGGATGTACAAAATATACGTTTTTCGCTTTGAATTTTCATCGACATTGTACGTGTAGCATAAACTCGTATATAACTTTGTATCGTTCGTTGCGTAAATAATAACTTTACCATGTTATATAAGCTATTCCTGAACTTTTCGTTTTTCTCATTGTCAGTGTCACGACATTCACTCTGAACGCTTTTTCTTTGTATGCTTCTGACATTTCTTCTTTCTCTATGGTTCTATTACTTTCATTCTGCACGATCATTCCTAGAAAATACTCCGGTATGCTTACTCGAAGTTTTACGTGCTTATGCATTTGAAATTTATGCCACGAGCTCGAGTACTAGGTTCAACTATATTTCTTTAAAAATATTTCGTTCACTCGAGTCGAATTCCAATATCTCCACGATGCGTTGCAACGCGATTCTTATTTCGTTTTCCGGAATGTGTCGTGTTCGGATACCGGAATAAATGAGAAATTTACTATCGAGATGATTCTTAAATTTACGGGCAAATATCAATTTTCGTACAAAGTTTAAATCTCAGACAAAAGATATCGCGAGTTATTACATCGCAAAGTAGATTAACCAATGCATAATACATAAATAATACATTTATTATTATCAATAATAACAATATAATTTTTAAAATAGTTTTATCACGTTATTATAATTAGAATTTATATAACTACTAATCACTTATCGTAAATAACAAAAATAAAACGTGATATAGAAGTGATTATGCATTAGATTAATGCGAATGAATCGTTATATGAAACATTTTTCGTTCTCATTGCCATCCTTCCTGAGGTGGTGGTGGTGGTGGTCTGAAAATAAATTGTTTCGTTATTATAATATACGAAATTCAGTTCTGTTACATATTTACAAGGTAAAAAATTTTTATTTTTTAATAGTACAAAATAATTTTAAATTCAAGCGTTTCTTTTAGCGTTTGAATTTTTATATAATATATATATTTGGACAAATTGACATTTATAGATATCATGTATGCAAATATAATCGTCGATGTATATCGATAAATTATTGCATATGTCAGAAATAAAGAAATATATTTCGAATTGTCCGGTATGATTGCACTGAAAACGTGAAGTGAGTTATTTATACGTATATAATACGTCTATAATATATATTTAACCGTACAATATGACAATGACATATATACATACATATCTATGTAGCTACGTTCACGTTTGCTACACCCGATCATAAAATCGATCGGATGTACTTTATATCTAGACACTTATATTCGAGAAAAAATTCAAGCACGACTTTGTTCGAATTATATTTATTACGTGTACGCATTTAGGGACGGAAATTTCACGCGAATAATTATATAGGAATAAAAGACAACGTGTAAAAGTTACGTTCCGTCCCCGAGAGCGTGTTTATAACATAATTTTATTCTAAGGCTTACACTTTTGCCAGACCTAACGGTCTATTTTATATTTTATACCGCGATTGCAATTCCGGAGGTTCGATGTGCCTCAACGCCGTTCTAGCGGATTAAGCGTACAAAGGTAAAGCAAAATTAGGAATTTTACTAGCACCAGACGCGACAGATGAGACCCACTTGTGACAGACCCAACAAGCGACGGACGGACGGCACTTATAAATCACGTCATCGACCATCAGAAATCGGCTCCTTGACAGTTTCCTACTCCTTAGCCAAAGGTCCTTATGTCACACCCTCTGTCCAATTAAAACTCTTTACCTTTCCACCACCAACATCTATTTTACCCAATCAGAACTAAACTAGAGAAAACTCCGGACCGAACACGACGAGACAGGACATAGAGCAAAATCGAGAAGTCAGTTCGTCTTCGGCACCAATGCTTCAAACATCTAAATTGCACATACAAACGCGTGTTCGAAACGGTACTCCGTTAACGTCTACATTATAAGTATTCATCACTTTTCTCTAAATAAACACCGTAGGACGCTACATATTTTTGATCCTTCGAGCCGGATCCAGCTTCCTACGGAGACCTACCCTTGGTCCTTCGCGTATAGTCGTGTGTGTTAGAAGAAGTGATATCAATCTCTGTGTAGATTACTATTGTTAATCAGAAGTGAGTGAGTGAAACTACGTGAACAAGAAGACATGGCAGAGCTTATACACAAGGCAAAAACTCAACGTAGAACCGTTCAGGGCCAATTGGCCAGATTTCGGAAATTCTTGGCAGAATATCACTCCAGGGAGAATGCATTCGATCAGCTTAAGTTTAGATTTGAGAGATCAGACGAATTGTGGAAGAATTTTGATAAGGCCCAAGCGATTTTAGAAGAACTAGATCCTGAGGGTGAGGGCATGTTCAGCAAGAGAGAGGAAGTAGAGGAGGCTTTCTTCGAATTAGTGGCCTGGGCACGGACCCTCTTAAAGTCAGAACATAACAGACCAACAACACCGTCGGATCGCCTTACCACGGTGAAAGAGGCAAAATGGTGTACAAAATGCCTGCGGCCAAGCGACGGTGTCAATCCGTGTACTTCCGGCAAGTGTCGCAAAAGCAGCGAGAATCATCATACACTGCCACATTTGGACGCCAAACCTGCACCGCTTGACGCCTCGAATAATGACAAAACTCAAGATGTGCAATCTATAGCACAGCCCTCTGCGCCAACAGCAGCGATGGCAACGCGGATTTCAAAGGTACCGTCAGAAGTCCTAATATCAACAGATCAGATTTATATTTTTGACAAGGACGACAACAAACCTGCACCGCTTGACGCCTCGAATAATGATAGAATTCAAGATGAGCAATCTATAGTACGGCCCTCTGCGTCAACGTCGGCGATGTCAACGCGTATTTCAAGGGTACCGCCAGAAGTCCTATTATCAACAGCCCAGACTTATATTTTTGACAAGGATGGCAACAGATATAAAGGCAGGGCGTTACTCGACTCCGCATCCCAGGCTCACTTTATTACGAGCCGATTGGCCGACCTTCTGCAATTGCGTAAGAAGGAAATACGCACACCTGTTAGCGGCTTAAATAATACATCAACAAATACTCAATATGCCGTTACAGCTACTCTCCAATCTACGGATAAGAGATTTACTGCGAATGTAAATCTATTAACAATACCACGAATAACGGACCTCTTACCGTCAAGCCAGGTCGATAGGGACAGGATAGAAATTCCGGCTAACGTCCCCCTTGCCGATCCCGAATTTCATAAACCAGCGGAAATCGATATCCTCGTAGGAGCAGGACTATTCTTTTCTTTAATGGGCGTGGGACAAATTAAGCCGATAGTAAAGGACTCAAGGTCAAATTCCTCAAGCCCAGTGCTCCAGAAAACCCGTTTAGGCTGGATCATCTCGGGTGAAGTACCTCAACGCGATGAATCAACAAAGGCATCATCCTGTTATTTAATTGTAAAATCTAAAAATTATTTGGGCACTCAAATGCAGATGCTGAAACGTATAAGCAGGAGAAGAAACAGTCACAGGTATACGACCGAACCAGAAGAATATTCCTGTGATGTATGCGAGTTCAAATGCCAGAATCGACGCAGATTAAAAGAACACTTAGAACAGAAACATGCATCAAAGTATAAATACGACCGCGAATATCGTGGGAGAAGGTTCAAGGCAAAGGACGATATGAGACATCCGTGTTATACATGTCCGTTTTAAACACAAGGAAGGACCTATAGCCGGTCCAAAGAAGACTTGCTCGAGCAGTAATTCCCTGTACGTGCACCAAAACTGGACACATTTCAAACCAAGGTACGAATGCAAGGTCTGCAAGAGACGCATGGTCATTCAGGAGAACCTCGAATAACACATCTTACTGCAGCACGAGAGACGAGGGAGTTTTGTTTGTGAAAAATGTGGCAAGCCATTCACCGAG